TGAGAACTGCTTGTCTGTTGTCTCTGAGGAGTTTGGACAGGGCACGCTGCTTCTTTGACCTCAGAAGCTGGGGTTCAACCCAGAGAGAAGCCAACTTTAACACTCCACAGGCCAGGCATCTAAAGACCTGGAGACAGAGAACACTATTTTGTGCCCCTTGTCAACGGGATCAACAGTAACAACACATATGCACAAGGTCAGACAATACAGAGTGTAAATAGAGTTCCTAATTGGTCTAAATAATAAAAACCTGGAGTCAGATAATGAGGGAAATGCTACCTCCTTAGCATCTCAGCAGACAAGAGAGCAAGGTCAGTGTCTGTTCCCCAACTCTTTAGTGTCACTATTAGTGGTGGGCTTATAAATTAAGTTGTATTTCATACTGACTCCTTAATTGTAACTTCCAGGATTATTTCCCACAGGAAACTTTATGCTTTGCTTTGTGTATTCACAGATCACTATTGTCATGTGAACTGGACACAGTTAACCCCCAGGATACTATGATCTCTTATATTTCAGGCAACACACTTGCTGACAGTAAAACTCCTACCTCACAAGCACACAAAATCCAGGCACATTGGCACACCTCTGTAACCTTAGAACTGTGTTAGCAGAGACAAGTGGATCCCTAAAGCTCATTGGCCAGCAAGTCTAGCCAATCAGTGATTACTGTGCTCAGTGAGAAATCTTGTCTCAAAAAAAAAAAAATGTGGAAAGTGATCAAGGGAGATATCCAGTGTCCACCTGTAGCCTCTGGGTATGCATACATGAGCACAAATGTATAGGCTCACATATGTCACCCCCCCCAATACACACAACCAGAACTCAAGTAGGGAAGAGTTATGCCTCAGTGTCTCAAGTATTGACTAATTGTAGATGGCATTGGATGCAAATAATTACAAGGACTGGTAGAGTTCAAGATCAACTGAGTTCAATTTGCCTTTATTATGGGCCAGAAAATACTATGCATTCTGAATTGATAATTAGAAGAGAGAACATTCCAGAATTCTTGTATCGAGCACTAGCTAGCTCTAAGAAAGTCTTATAATCAGGGATTCTTCTTTATGTCTGATTTGATTTACTCCCATAGGTCATTAATTGATGTCATGTGGTTGAGTTCTCCACTGAAGTTTCTATAATTTTCATTTAATTGGGCATGTGGAGGCTGGGTCAGAATGTATTATTAATTCTGTGATCTGAGTGTTGTAGTTAAATGACTTTATGCCATCACTTAGGATCTTAAAATTGAAAAAAAAAAAACAGAAGAAATAGCTTGTAAAATGACTTGTGAAAAGTCTTACTTGTATCATTTATGCAAAATAGTTGTAGACAAACACAAAATTCACACATAAGCTTGTCAAATACTCCTGTTACTAAAGAGACCCAAGAAATAACTCTGAAATGTCTTTGTTTCCCAAGTTTCTGAGCAACAAACCATCACAAGCAGTGGTATACTTCATCCATTGGTGAACATAGTGACCTCTACCCCTCATACTGGCTGTGGCCTCCTGAAGCACAGGTCTAAGCAGCATGGACTGCTGCAGGATGGGTTCTCTGTCCTCACTAAACACTTGAACATCTAAGGGACAGATTCCTAGCAAGGTGGTGTCATTGGTGTCAGAGCCTAAGAGAATTAAAAGACTTCTCTTAAGTGTGCCCTATCTGCTCACTGGGATAATAGATTTTGAAGTTTATGTAACATCTCTAGAAGCTCTGGGGCTCCTCTGGAAACCCAGATATCAAATTCAACAGGATTTCTTCATGCTCCACAAAATTCCTGGAGACTTCCAGTGCAAACATACTGCAGACCCCTAGACTGTGATGTCCTGCCTTGGGCAATTTTGTTATATTATGAAATGTTTCCCTGACAGAGCAGAATAGAATAGTCCACTGGATCTTTCACTCAGTATCCCAGTGAACATGTGTAGTTTGAATAGAAGGACTTCAAAGTACTTGTGACTTTAAAGGGAGCCATCTGTTCTTTAGACAGTTAAATTGAAGCAGAAATAAGATGAGCACTTTTATTACTTTGTACAGCAAAGTTTCCGGGGTTCTGAGCCCTTTGTCACAGCTACTTTTGATCATATGTATCTTTTTAAGTTCAACACTTTTTTCTGAAATAATATTAGAAAGCAATATATTATAACCTTAAATATTTGAAAGTATGTTTTAAAGCAAATTTGTATTTATGTTATATATTCCACTCAGAAACATTCTTTTTATGAATGAATACTAAGAGAATAATTCATTGGCCAGGTTAAGCAATAGATACAAGAGTGATACTTTGCTTACAGTGGGAAAACTAGAATGATAGAGACATCCTAAAAGATGAATAAGAAGGAAATAGAACATCTAAAAGAAAGTTTATAATGAGACTTAAAAAGTGTGTGTAGGTCTGTATGTTGGTGTCCAAGGAGACCAGTGGTGGGCATCAGGTCCTCTGAAGATGGACTTACAGGTGGTTGTGAGATAACTGGCCTAGCTGGGACCAAAGCTTAGGTCCTCTGGAAGAGCAGCAAGTGCTTTAAATTAAACACTGAGCCATTTCTTTAGCTCCCAAAAGCAAGTTTTTGAGAAAAGTTTCCAAATCTTAGGAAAGTCCCAAAATATAGTAGAAGAAGATATGTGCATGTGATCTGTTTTTAATGTTATTTAAAAGTTGTTTGGGACAAAAGCTACTAAACATTGCTTCTAAGAAAAAGCTCTTTTCATTTTAATATAAAGAAACAGAAGGAGGTGTATGAAACTGAACTAGTGGAATTACAAAGGATGCTTTTAACATGTTTTCTCTGTTTCTCCTTCACAAGTGCACATTTCACTCTCTCAGGAGGAAGCCACCATACTTGTCACTCTTTATCTTTGCTCTGTGGTGACACCACAGAGAGTTTCCAAGACCCATTTCAGAGAGTGTTTATTGAACACAAAATAGAAACCCATTAGTGCTTGCTTTTGATTATCATCTCTGAAATCTAGTGTGGTTTCCTTGAAACCATCAGTGTTCAAATAATAGATTCACTCAAATAATCTGTCCTGGTGCCCAAGCTGTTTCCTGTCAAAAGCCTTCTCCTTCCCCTCCCCTTCCTGATATGTGGATATGGATATGGATATATATGTATGTATTTAAAGTAGGATGGGGTGGCAGCTGGAGACTTAGCTCAGCAATTAAGAGCACCAGTCCTTTTGTCAGAAAATACATGTTAGATTCCCAGCACCCACGTGATGGCTCACAACCATCTGTAACTCCAGGTCTCCTTCTGGCTTTCATACACACCAGGCATGCATGCAATACACAGATACACATGAGGGCAAAACACCTGTACATATAAAATAATAAGAAATGAAAAAATTGAAAATGACAATAGGATTTCACTGTCTAATGCTGGCTGGCCTTGAACTTATGACCTTCCAGCCTTGGCTATGCTGAGATCACAGGCATGTATCTCAGACTGAAGATGGAGTCATGCCTCATGCATTTCAGGTTAGCACTCTATACAAAGCTACATACCCAGCCCCAAAAGATATGTATGTATGTATGTATGAATATATAATAAATAATGTGTATCATTTATTATTAGTCAGTGGATGTGGATGTGCCTTGGCTCAGGGATGAAGCCAAAGAACAGAGTCCAGGAGTGTGTCCTTTCCACTATGGGGTCCAGTGATTGAACACAAGTTGTCAGGCTTACATGGGTAATGTTTTTACATGCTGGCCCCTCTTTCTGGACCCATGATTTCTGTTTATTTTCTTTTTTGCTTTGCTTCATTTTTATGGTACGGGGATTGAACCCAGGACTTCACAGATGCTAAACAAGTACCCTCCATGCCAGTTCCATCTTTACTTCTTTTGTGAAGTGTTCTTAGATGCATCAACATTTTACAAGTCCACATGGTTCCAATGTGTACAGCATGACCTGTGGTCTCACCGACCCAGAGAACCTGTGTTCTCACTGATCACAGAGAACCTGTGTTCTCACCGACCCCAGAGAACCTGTGTTCTTACTGATCACAGAGAACCTGTGTTCTCACCGACCCCAGAGAACCTGTGTTCTCACCGACCCCAGAGAACCCGTGTTCTCATTGCCCCAGAGAACCTGTGTTCTCACCGACCCCAGAGAACCTGTGTTCTCACTGACTCATTCTAGCCTTTTTTTTCCACCCAGTATTTACTGAACAGATATTGGGAATATATTTTTCTCTCACTTGTTCCTTCTGATTTGGTGGTCTCCCCAGTGAGACTGGGACACAAATCTGGGAGTCCTTATCTATATGAGTCTCAGAATGTAAATCCTCCTTTGGTTCTATTTCTACTCAAAAAGAAAAAGAAAAAAGGAGAACCAATTCTTTCTGGAACTCATGGCTTATTTGTTTTACTCTCACAGCCATTCGCTGGTGCATGTGTCTCAGTTTCAGGATGCCACAGGTGCCGTACAGCCTCCTACTGCCAGCACTGCCTGTCATTCATGTGATTTGAACAGGATAGTTATTCATATACCTGTGTCATTTGACTGGAGATTTCAAATTAGGAGTGGGAAAGAAAGTGATGAGTATACTTATGTAAGTCTACAGGAGAATAATTATTGATACAAACGTTTGACTTACCTGTAAAAGCATTGTACAAAGAAGTCATAGTATGAAAAACATTTTTTCATGACAAAATCAAAGTCATGATAAAATAATCAATTACAGTTTCCAAAATAACATCTTTTTTTTCTACTCGTAAGTGTGAATATGAAATTTTATGCCTTTAGCTAAGATCTAAAAACAAGTTATTCTAAATATGAACATCATAATATCACCCTATTTACATTTCTTAGCAGCCAATAAATCAAACAAAAATGTCATTGTCCCTCTGAGTTGTAATTGTTGTTCTCTTAGGTTATCTCATTTCCCCTTTCAGATATTCTTTATTTTATTACAGAAATAAACCCCCAGTGAAGAAAAGAACATTTAAGATAAATTCTACACAGGCAGAGAAAAATAAAGAAATAGAAAAAGCCAACCTTTATTCCACTTTGAACAAGTTTGTGAATGTCCAAGTAAGGCTCCTTGAAAACGTCTCCTTCTGGGGTTAGGATTTTCACATAGCCTTCCTTCTCTAGAATGAAGAGACGATGGGAGCCATCGCCACTGTGGACAGCACCCACAGGCTGCCGCAGTCCACTCACTACCTCCTGGACACAGAAGCAGTTGTGTTTGTGTTTTCTAAACAAATTAGAGAAAAGCAGTCAGTCCCCTTCTGATGCAGATGCAAACAGAGGCATACAGTACATTCTCCAAATGTACCCATTTCCTCAAAAACCAATAGTTTTGAAAGTCAGGAAGGGCTGCTAACACAGGTACTCTATAATAGGATTCTTTTTGTTAATTTACATCATTTTTTCAATGGAAAATAACAAGATATCATTTTCTCAGAGAGTAAAAGTGAGGATCAAATGGTTTATTCTGAAATGTCATTAACTCATTATCTCATCTTTCAGTGACTATAATTAAAATTTGCTTTTACTCACAATAATGAGCCTTTATTAGAAGGTATTTAAGGAGAAAGTTCTAAGATCCATTTATATAAAGAAAAACTGATTTGATAATAATAAAAGTGCTGAATGTTTCCATGGTTCCATAAAGCTAACAACAATCATAAAATTCAAGGTGAACACTGTACCCATAAAATTCCCATGAGTCATGGAGAAGCCAAGCTCATAACATAGGATTAGGGGGCTGAGTATTAAGTGCATTTAAGCTATGATTTTAGAGGAGCAAACCACTAAGAAGGAAAAGAAGTTAATTTGAGTGGAGTCTAGGGCTCCTGAGCACAAGTACAGAGAAGTATGTCCTGTTAAGATCACAGATTTATTACCTTTTTCATTAAGATTAAAGAGCACTGAGAGAGGGAGAGGGGTGAGGGGGGATGGAGGGGGAGGGGAAGGATGGAGGGGGAGAGAAGAGAAAGGGAGAGAGGGAGGGGATGGGGAGGAAGAGAGAAAGAAGACGGTAAAGGGAGGGGAAGAGAGGGGAAGGGAAAGAGAGAGGGGCAGGAAGGGGGAGGGGGAGGGGGAGGGAGAGAGGGAGGGGAAGAGAGAGGGAGAGAGGGAGGGAGAGGAAGGGAGGGAGAGGGGGAAGGAGGGAGGAGAGAGTTGAATTATATGGACCTGCTGAGCTCCTCCACTGTCTCATACTCTTCCATCTGGTCCAAGTAGTTAGATGCTGGCCCTCTGACTTGCTTTCTTGGGAAATCTGGAAAGCAGGATCCACCATCTTTTCTTGCATAGTAAAAACAAAACTCATCAGCAGTTGTTTGAAGAAGACCTTTAAATAGACATGGAGAAAGACTCATTAGAACCATGAAGTGTTCTAGCAAAACCAGCTCATTTGGGCATCTGGCTAAAGAAGATTTTTAGAAAACATATAAATATTTACAAGGGGAAACCATATTTCAACAACGAAAGAAAAGGAAAAGCATGGGGATTGGGATTCTCCTTTCTTCTTTAACTACATTTAAGAACTCCAGTAAAAGTGTAATCTCTTATGCTGAGTTCTTTAAAAAGATTTACTTCTCCTTTCATATGATGTGTATGTGTGTTCCTTCATGACATTACATGTACCATATCTGTATCTGAAGCAACCAGATCCCCTGGAACTGGAATTACAGACAGTATTGAGCTGCCAACGTGGGTGCTGGGGACTGAACCTAGATGCTCTCTAAAAGAACAGTGTAGGATCTTTACCAGTGAGCGATTTCTCCAGCCCCTGTGCTCACTACTTGAAAGGCCAGGGTTAATCTCACTGTGTTGACTCTCCTCAAGCTGCCTCACTGATCACGGGTTGTATTTACGAGCTTACCTCATCATTAATTAGTCTAATTTTCCTACAGTACTAAATACTTTCCTTAAAAGAACACGTGACAACTAGAAAAGCGATAATCTATTGTTTGCCAGTTGTCTTAATGGAATGCGTTCATGGAGATAGCAAATATCTCCATATAAAGTGAATGACCCACTGTGTAATCATTAAACAAGGAATTGATACTAAGAGTAAGCCTCTTATTTCAAATACTTTGAAGTCTTTTTTTCTGTACTTTTTTTCTGTAAGGGATAATAATAAAATATATTTAAATGATCTTCTCTCTTCTTAAAAAGAAAAACTGATACACCTCTGAACCAAAACAAAATTACATGGTGGATTTACTGAACAGGTGATAAAATAAAGACAACTTTTCTTCTCTTTCGTGTTAAAAATATTGGTATATGTGCACACATGTGTATGTATATATGTATGTGAATGTGTGTGTGTGTGTGTGTGTGTGTGTGTGTGTGTGAATGTGTGTATGTTCATGTGCCTGTGTGTGAGAACACAGATAAAAGTGTAGAGCTCAGAAGTCAACATCTGGTATTTTCTTCTCTCTCAGTTTTTGAGGCAAGGTCTCTCACTGACTGTGACATTCACTGATTCCATGATACTGGCTGGCCAGTGAGTCCCAAGGAACCTCCTGTTTCAGCCTCCCTGTCACTAGGGTCACGGGCCCACTCCTTTTTCATGGGTTCTGGGGATTGAACTTAGATCCTTATGCTTGTACCACAACCACCTCACTGACGGAACTATTCCCTGAGCCTGCAAAGAGTTTTTGAAAGTACAGATCCCCTTGAATATGAAGCTAAAAGCTTTAGACCAGAGGAAAAATATAGAAAAAAAAAATCAAAATCTGTAGCTTGAAGTAATACGGTCCTGGCTTTATTGTGCTTGTCAGTAAGATCGCTTCTGTATTTGAAGACTTTATCAGGCTCTGGGCAAAGAATATAACTGCTGGAGTAGTTGTCCAGCAACTCAAAGTCCAGGCTTGAACTTAACACCACAAACAAACAAACAAGAAACAAGCAGCACAAACTCCCCTTGATCTGTTTTTATCAGTCAGCTCAGGTGAGAGTGTTTGCTTTCCCAGAAGAAAGGGTGTCTCTCACCTCCTATCTTCACCGTAGTGAAGTTCTGGGTTTTACATAACTAATTGGATTTTTCATTCTGCCTACTAGTCTTGGGAAAAGAGTATAAGGTTGGAGTTTGAAAATTATATAACAAACTCAGGTTTTGCAAGAGTTTCTAAGAACAAGATTTGGAGCTCAGTCAAGTGAGGCTTATCGATGGAGTTTGCAAGACACTCAGAGTTCCTTTGCAGTGAGCTTGACCTGGGTCAGCCCAAACCTCAAAACAAACCAACCATTGGGTGCAAGAGTCCCACATGATACAACACGGGATATATTTTAACTTTACTTTTGGGTGAAATGTATTACCCTTGAATTGCCAACAGAGACTCTTGAAGAGCAGTTTCTGTCAAGAATGTTGGGAAATATCTTAAGTCAGGGAAGAAGGCCAGGAAAAATGTGTGCCAGGAGCTTGTATACACAGAGAAGCCAAGTACTGTGTTTGCCCCCAGGGGGTGTGCAAACCAGGGTACAGGGCACTGTGTGTGCCCTCGGGGGTATGCACACAAGGGTGCAGGGTGTGGTGCACACAGGAGTGTAGCTATGGGATAGGAGGTATAACAGTTAGAGGATCTTCTTTAGGAGTGGCAATGAGGAATTTTACTTCCTTTGAAAATCTGCCAGCATTGGACACAGAAAAGGGAATGTGTCTTGGGGAATTCACTACAAAAGATAACCTTCCTCTCCTCATTTTTAAATGGCTAAGCACCCATGTAAAAAGTAAAAGTGCAAAAGGCAAGCCTATTTGAGAAAAAATAGGAAAAGGAAAGCTCAAGTTTACTTTAACAGCAACTGGCATATCTGCAAACCAGGACCTTCTCAAAGGGAATTAATGAATGGAACTATGACTGCTTTCACTTCTCAGAACATTCATTGTAAGCTGGGGACAAATAGTAGGAAATGAGAACTTATTTTCAAAAAGGATATCTTAACTTCAAGCTAGGATGTAAGATCATAAACTTTGTGTATCTAGATTATTGACTTTTGATCAAACACATACCTTTTGTTTCTAAAAATTCACTTGCGAACCTTTTACTGAAGGCCAAGTCTGGATCACCACACTATAGTCAGGTCTACAAATGCAGAGAATTCTTGCAGATACTGTATTTGTTAAACTCTTGGTTATTTACAAAGTATCAGGTCTTATCCATTTTCCAAGATGGTGAATCCAGCCCTACTGACCCACACAGCACAGAGTGACTGTATGTTCCAGCTTCATTTCTCACTAAGTATTCTAGAGAAGCTATATTTCCCCCTTTGTTTATCCATCATGATACTGAAAAGAGGAAGAATCTGTGAATCCCTGGGAGGAAGGCTTTCGATGTATCCATCCTGTTCCTCTAGCTTGTTCTCCCTGGGACTAATAAGACACATGTGTTAGGTATCTGATGGAGTCAGGTCTGGAGAAACTCAATGGACTCAAACCCTTGACCTTGGCCTCATTAGCCACAGGATTAAACCAATTGAACTAATTGGGTGCAGACCTTTCACACAACTGGAACCTACTACTGGGACATGACTGTCTAGAAGTGATAAAAATCATTACCATAATAGGGACAAAGTATAAAGCAATGACAATGGCTGTCTCTGTGTACCTTTCTTGGGGTGTGTTATACCAGCTTTAATGATCTCAAAGTATCTACTTTGTTCATTCAGGCCAAGGGGAAAGACCCATGAGGGTGAGAGCAGCTGGGGCACTGGAGAAATTTTAGGAGATTCTTTTTCTCACAAAGTTATTAAGCGGGGACCATTTAACAGTCTAGAGTACTGTCAGTTTTATTGCTGTTGAACCTTTCCTAATAAGAAGGACCTGGTTGTTTCTGAATTTAAATTTCTAGAAATGAGCTATCTTTCAGTTTCCAAGAATGTTCTAAAGTGGTCATGCTTTCTTAAAGCCAAGACAATGAAGTGGTTTTCTCATGTTTTGAGCAGTCTAGGACAAGGAAAGAAATTTCTGTAATTGCTTTCTTATGATCCCACTCAGAATTTCCCTTCTTTTTACAAACTACATCCCTTGGGCTCTCTTCATCTCCAAGGTTTTAGTTTGCATAGAGAAAAGAACACTGGTAGGAACAGCAGGAATACCTTGACCATGTTTCCTATGAACCGGAATCTCAGGGTCACTTTCCCTGAGCTTTGAATTTCTGAGAAGAGTAAAGCATAAAATGGACTCAAGGTGAAATGATTACACAGTTGTTCTTGCAATAATTTCTAATGTCCCAGTGTCCCAGCAGTCTAGACATACTAGTGTGCAGGAGGCAAGCCTGATGGGCAGACTCCTGCTTTGCTCATCACATGTTAGGAAAAGGTGGTCTCCCTTCTAGGGCTCTAGTTGGCTAATAAATCAATGAACATAAATGCCAAAGAGTGTGTTATTACAGCTCACTCGGACACAAGTATTTCAAATGACTATCAGTGTGTGACCTAGGAAGGGCTGTCCCTTGAGCTTGTTGCTGACGTCTCCCTGGGTCTTTACACAGCATTCTGACTGCCCTTTCCACCTCAGGAGTGGAGCTTTCATGTGGTTATCTTTCAAGGCAGCCTGGGTGGCCACGAAGAGCACTTGACATCTTGATGCACTTCAGCAGTTTTACATATACACAAACTTTGTAGAAAAATAAATTTGTCATTCGTCACCACATATGCTGATCTGGGAAGTGACGTGTTTGCAGTTCAGGCTCTGAGCTGTTTGCTGGGCTCTTTCAGTTGACCTTGTAGACTTGTTTTGCTATTTTGAATGCTAAAGTGACTTTGAATATATAAAGACCACCATGGAGGAGTCTGTGAATCTAGCATGTTGCATTTGCTGTGAAGTGATACAGAAAATGAAGATGCCAAGTGCCGGGATCACTTTCAGCTAAGGATTATAAAGGCAGAGGTCTGCAGCTATCCTCCCCCGCCCCCAAGCTTCCCAATCTGTTATTGGTCTCTGTGGGCCATTGAGGCTACTGGGAGCTACTCCACTTTGAACTGAAGAATGTGATAAAGGGGAAAAAAACCAGATAGTTTAAGAGAAGTCAGAAACATGGCTACCACTTATAAAAACAATAATATTTTCACATCCAAATGGTTTAGGTACATGGCATGCTACTCACACTACTCACACTACTCACAAAGGGAGCAAGCAATCCTGGAGTGTATATTATTTATGAGAAAGTTCTATTAAATTTTTTGTCTACATTTTTGCAGGCCAAATAAATTCTAAGTTGTATATAGAACTTTCAAAGACTTATCTGAGTCACATCCTATAGTACTTAGGGCATACCTCTTTCTTATATACCATTCAGCTTCATAAAGGCTTCATTGCAGTGATTATTGTCTGAACTTGGACTAACTAAAAATAATCAGTCCTGTTAAATTCTGTTCTTCCTCTGTGTTTGTCCTTCCAATTAAAATGATGACTACACAATTTATGAATGTGTATATGTGTTTGTATCTGTGTGTGTGATGTGTGTGTGTGTGTGTGTGTGTGTGTGTGTGTGTGTGTGTGTGCGCATATGGGTGCATGCATGCATGTAACAGCCAGAGATTGACACTGGGTACCTCAGCCACTCCCCACATCACATCATGGAACCATATAGACACCGATTCTGAAGCAAGCTCCTGGGATCAGTCTGTCTCTGTGATGCTTGCCCTAGGTTAAACATGTTCCTGACTGTGCCCATCTTTTTTTCATGTTTTCATGCTTGTGTGGCAGGTACTGACTGAGCCACCCCTCTCCAGAATGTACTTTTGATGGCCTTGATGGGATCTATATGTTTATTAGAGTCTGAGAAGTGATGGTGACCAGGTGTCTTTGTGACACCTCATTCAGAAGAGCTTCCGCAGCCATCCTGCCAACTTCTCTTTATGTTATACAGGATTGGTTACAGCAGCTCAGTTCTCTCGGGCCTCAGGTTTTCTCCTCTGCCCAGAGGACAGGGCTTCACTGTTCTATCCATTTCATGGTATTTCTAAGGTGATAGTTATTCATTTTATGTGAAAATGCTTGGTTAGATGTTACTTTTGGGAACTTTCAGTCACACATTATCTAAAGAAATATCTTAAAAACCACTGGGACATCTTTTTATCTCATATCTGAGGCTGGTGGACCAAAAAAAAAAAAAAAAAAAAAAAAAAAGGTTCTAATAAGAAACATCTATGGTGCTGGAGAATAATTCAGAGGGAGAAAAATAAGAGGACATTTTAGTGATAATAATCCAGCACATATAAAGTTATACTGATAATCCAATGTGCAAAAAGTTTATAACTTGTATTAGTATCTTAACAAGAAGCATAAGCTTTTACAACAAAGTTAGTGTTTTATTTGTCAGCTGAAACTGTAGTTCTCTCTTCTACAGCAATAAAATGCAAGCCTTTGGAAAAGTTAACTACTAAGTAAAATAGAAAGGTTAAACACAATTTACAACTCCTATAAACAAGCCTCTGAGAATCACTATCTTATAAGGATGCTGCCAATGATGTAATCTATGCATTTTTCTTTTACCTGGAATATGGCCCCGGCAAGTGTAAAAGAACTCTTTGCAGTAGTCCTTGCAGAGCAGTGGAAGTACTAGGTCTCCATCCAGGACTTCTCTCTCAGGTGAACAGAACAGGCTCTGCGAGTGTGGTGAGCAAGGAGCGCATTTGATCTCTTCAAGTAATTTGCCACATTCTGTGTTATTGGTGGAAGAAAAGATCTGAAAACCACAGATCAGAAACACATCTTGTTAGTCATGAGAAAAATGAGCTTCGTCAGGTTTTCTTCCCCGTTTTCAATCATGTAAGTAGAAAAGTCTAATTCAAAAAAAAAAAAAAAAAAAAAAAAAAAAAAAAAAAGAAAGAAAGAAAGACTATGTTGCAATATAGAGTCTTTCAAAAGAACACATGTTATCTTTGAGGCCAGGGTGGGAAGACAAAGGTCAGAAAGGAACACACAGAAGCACTTGTTGCCTTTGCAAATTCAAGTGTGTGAATCTGTCCTTCTGCTGTTAAAATGAGATGTTTATAGATTCACTTACTCTGCCCCAGAGCATATATTAAATCATATTTACCGTAAAAGTTCTACAGTTTTATCCAACTGTGTCCATAGTGTAACTTGAAGACATGGCTTATTTGTGTCATGGGTAAAAAACCCATTTAATTCCTAAAACCCCTAACATGGTTTCAAAACTGCACTTAAATAGCATTTTGGTAAATTTTCACTTGTTCCCAATGTGCAACCGTTACACCAGGCAAGTTTCTACACTGCCTATAAAATTACCCCAAACTAAACCAAATGGGCTTAAGACCCATTTTTAATATTCATTATATCTTAGCCAGTAAAAACCTTCTAGCTACTTCCTTAGGTTTTTTATATGCATGAATAAACACAAAGTTTAATAAAAGTGCTTTTGTGTAGTGGGTAGTGAATTTTAATGAAAAAGAATATTTTTTAAAATTATTCTTACAATGATATGTCCTTTGTTTCAGTAAGATTAATTCTGTAGGGCTTACTGGTTCCCTGAAATTAATAACTTATAGGTAGAATGTATCTTAGCATCAGTATTCAGTTAGAAACCTGACTTGAGGAACTCTTTCAATAAGTATGGGGGACATTGTCAGCCTGATACCTTGGAAATAAAATTCATGCTATCTAAATCAATCTCTTATTCCCCCTCCCACATACATTACAAAATGCTACAACATGTATGAAATTTATCCTGTTTGTCTACTTAAGTATTTTTCTGGAATAATGCATTAAAATGAAAAGTTTGAAACTTTAGGAAGTTGTTCATTTCTCTAAAAGAAGTATTTCTTTTAAACGTTGAGCTAATTTGAGTAAATAACATAGCCTCTGTTTTTCTGGATTTTGATATCACAGGGTCATAAAAACCCTATATCTAGAGGCCAGAGTAACCTAAAATCAAGTTGCATAGATCATTCAACAGTCTAAAGAGGCTGCTCTGGTCCAGAAAGAAGGATTTGTATATTGTAACTACTTAGAGTATTAAAAAGTTATTAATCATACTTCCATTTACATTTTAATTTTTATCAGTTTGTTTAAGTGACAACTGCATAAATGGTCCAAGTTTTGTAAAAGAAAACATAGACCAGACATTTAGGATTTGCATTCCAAGAATGTGTTCAATGTCTTTTATTGTCCAGCCTGGAGACCTCACCAGATCTATTCAATATGAATAGTGTTCTGCTTGGTTCTGTTTATTTCACATATAGCAATCCTCCAAGAACTAAACAACTGCAGGGACCGGAAGCCAACTCTTCTGCTGCCTGAAAACTGGGCTGTAATTACCTTTGCTTTTATGGAGACTATTTGTGCTTCTTCTTTTTCTTCTTCTTCTTTTTTTTTTTTTTTTTTTTTTTTTAAATAGCTGACACAGAATGATCCCATGTTCTCTCCCAGCTGCTCTTCAGGAAGAGCTTGCTTTTAGTGCCTAAAGAATTCTGTCTTTTACAATTTTTGGAATGTGTCCTGCCCACAAGATCCCCCATCAAAAGTTTCACAAATAGGATTCAATAAATTATCTGAAATCAAGTAGAATATTATTCTTGTAAAGGTTTGACGCTGTTCCGGCCCAGCAGGATGGGAACATTTTACTCTGTGTGAGGTCTACAATATAAACACCTATTTGAAGATAGATGGAGCCATCATTCTGGGTTTGGTTTCAATGAACCAATAGTCTTACTGAAGTCAATTAAACTGGCTCAGCCCAAGCAACAACATTGGTTTAGGCAGATGAGTACCAGTGTGTGCATGTGTTGGGGTGAGGATACCTCCGTCTTTTCTTTCTTTCTCCTCTCCAACATGTCTATGTCAGGCACACAGGTCTTTAATTTAATGCCTCCTGTTTCAATTTTTAAAAGCCAAATACAAAGTCATCAAGTTATAATGGCTTAGCCAAATATACTTTGGAAACTGCGTAAAATCTTGCAAACATGATCACAGCCAGCCTAGGAAGGACTGAAGCTGTGGCTGACTAGTCTGTAACATTTGGCAGCTTGTCCTTTAATCTTCAGCTACGTGAAAGTGAAAGGTAACTGCTGGCATATAGAAGAAAGTCCACAGCCACAGCTTATCAACGGAGAAATCCGTGGCAGAGACCCCTATATTTCCCTTTATTTATCACATAAGTAAATAAAGAGGCTAAAGAGGCACCCACATGGATTCCATGAAGGGCTAAAGTAGAAAATACATGACAGTATATGGCCTTAAGATCACTTGGTCCACAGAAAAGCTATTTCTGAAAAATCATATGCCTACAAGACTGTTCAGCTGGAGGGCAGAACACACGCGCTCTGGACTATAGTGCTGGGTTATGTCATTAAAGAGTTCAGTTTCAATTTTAGGCTAATATGTAAATAGATCATTGTACTAAGGCAGCTGTTAAAGGGACCCCAGGATGAGTTATTTGTTTAGTTGGATGTGTTCAACAATAGCCTTTGTCTCTGCAAGAGCCAGAGCAAACAAATGATTGTAAAAGGGCACACTTGAAAACAATTACTTTTCACCCATTCCTTGACAGCTTTGGCTGTGAAACCACCAAGGCAGAGAGAGAGAGAGAGAGAGAGGGGCTGTGTCTCTGTGACTCAGTTTTAGAAATGGTGTATTTTGGTAAGTTGTAGATTAAATTTGGCTAATGAGAATTAGATCCTTTTAGCATGCTATATTTGGGATCTGCAGCAATTTTTCTAAGACAACACAATCTACTAAATTTTGGCATCACTTATATCTCATTAGAGTAAAAAAAAAAACACTTTATTAAAACCTACAAGGAACTCAGACATAAGAACAAAGTATGGAGTCTAAGGAACTGAATTAAATTTTCATTCACTAAAGAAAGTTCGTTAACTTAGTAACTGGATTGAACTGCTTAGCTGCACATGCTTAGTCTTCTGACTTTTCTTACCACAGTTTGTCTTTGAAATCTCTTCCGGATGAAGAGCTATTATAGTACTTTTCTTGAAAAGTTGCAGAAAATGCAAAAATCTATTCTGAGTGTTTTTTTTTTTTAACAACAACAACAACAACAGGCTGTTTTGAATAGCCAACATTTCTCTTGCATACACATTTGTGAAATAATACCCTAACATATGTTATAACCTAGGAAGACTTCTAGGGAAAAGGGAAATACTTATGTTTATTATAAAAATAACATGTTTTTAAAACTATTAAAATTTGAGAACATAGGTGAAGAATTCTTGAGCATGGCTATTACATGTCTCTTGCCTTGAACACTTTGGGTATTGTTTGCTTGTAAACCACTAGCAATAGATCAGCAGAGCCTGTGGAACTCAACTTGATTCACACACACATTTTCCAAAGGAATCAACATTTGTTGGAGATTGGAACCAAGTGCTTAGACAGGAACATACATGACTAACATGGCAGACCTTTCCTAAGTAACTGTTTTCTTTAAATTATATTTTCTAATGAAGCTTCTCTTAAGGGTTATAAACTCCTTGAGTCTGCCCCCTTGTCCCTTCTCCCCACTATAGTTAGTTAAGAACAAAATTTGCATTCCACATGTTTCTAGAAGAGGTCAGTATTGCAGGGGTTTCTGCATCCTCAGTATATTCACAGCATATACTACACACAGGGACACTTCATAGTGAGTAAATATTTCTACACCTTTCTCTGAGTTTCCCCTTGGGGATGGGGGTGGGGACTCCTGGTGAAGCCTTTAAGATGCTCTGACTGAGCTGTTTCTGTAGCTTCATTCAATTAGGAGGCTGGGGCTTAATGACATTGTTGTGAATAAAACGCCAGAATATCTGTTCCCCGCATCTCAGACTACTGCTGCATATGGTAAGAATAAAGAGAGAGCTGCAGCTGAAACCCGCAGCAAGACAGCTCTCACTCATCTGGGAATAGAAGGAGTTGGACAAACGCTCCCTCAAAAGGCATGGACATTTGGACAGAGCTGGGGACTGAGAGAGAATGATGTTCTCCAGTTTCACCCATTAGTGAACCAACTAACAAATACAATGGTGGTGTTGTTATTCTTTGGCCATAAGCAACAGGACGCTGTGTGTGGGCAGCAGTTTAGTGGGGAGGAGGATACGTCGACCCCTTTTTGTCCTATTGATTTTTTTCCTATTTGCATGACTTGAGCAAATTAAATGATGCAATATGGCTTTTTGTTACAAAACAAAGTGAGAGGTACCACCCAGACACATATGTTGATTCGCAGGAGCTGTTTACATGATAATAGGGTGAAATCTACCGTGAACTGAGCATAAAAATTAGATTCAGCCTGGGCATTTTTTAATTTTTTTTTTTTTTTAATGCCTGGGCCAGCAAGAGGAGCACAGTTTTCCGAGTGTCTCAGACCTTGACAACTGCAGGGTTGTAACAGAGGAATTCTTAATTAAACTTAAAACGGGCAAAGATGGGGGAGCAGGGACACCTGATTGTCTGCCCCCCTGAAGTGATTGTTAATGACAGGATCTCACAGAAGGCACACAGCACTGCATCCCCTGAAGGAAATCTCATGCAGAATCAAGACCAACGATGGCTTGCACTAGGCAGACACTTCTTGGCTAAACTAATCAAGGCATGAGAAGTGCATGTGTCATCGCTCATAAAAATGAGTTTCTAGACAAGATCCTCCTAGACAACACTGCAGCAGCGGAAATCAGGATTTATAAAGTTACAAGACCGAAAAACCACTCAATAGGCGTCTCCAGCAAGATCTCTTGAGTTCTTATGGTACCAGGAGTTCCCTTTCTCTGGTTTAACCATTGTCATGCAAGCTAGACCCTTTAGCCTGGGTGTGTGATATAAAACAACAGTGCCCAGATAGCCTTTAGAGTCCAATCCGTTCACTAGTTAGAGCACGTGGAGAAAACAGAACAAATCTTTGCTACCCCAGAAAAATAAACCGGAAACCACAGCCACCCTAATTTACAGTTCCACCTCATCAAGTGCTTGATTCCATCCAAAATATACTGTTAATCCCATTCTCTTAAAATATTCACCCAGCTCAGGACTTGGGTACCACAGAAATGTCTCTCTAGAGATAGGCAAGTTTGACTAGCATCCCCGCCACGGACTCTAGGGAGGTAGAGCTATCTGCACACTACTGAGGAACACACACCCAACACACCTAACTAACCACCTTAGAAAAGTTATAGGAACTATCGGAATGAGTTTGCCCTTTCTTGCAGCTACCAGCATCTAGCAAGACACATCTGCGAGTGCCTACCTTGTTCTCCAGACGCCCCAAACCAGGGCTGTCACTCTGCAGGCAGCAGGATACTCGGGGGTAGAAGCCACCACACAGGATCTCTCCTCCACTCAGCAGTTCCAGCTGGGACATCATCCGCCTGTCTCTCCTTTTCAGGCGCTTAGGGGGATTCCCATTCAGGCACCTTCTCCTTCTTGCTCCGCTCCCTTCGCTCCTTTCCCCAAACTTGGCATCTCCTTCAAAGAATCCCAGAGCCACGGCTAGCAGTAGCAGCTTAAACGAGAGCATCTTCAGCATAGTCTATCCAGAGCAGCAGTGGCAGGACGCGGGAGGATGTGGGGGGAAAAGGCCACTGCCCAGCAGGGGCACTAGGGCGCAGCTCCAGGAGAGTGCTGCGGGGCGGCGGGACGCTCCTGGGGCAGAGGGAGGTGGCGGGGAGAAAGATGTAGAGCTAGGCAGCTTTGCCTTAGGGCAGCGGGAGCAGTGAGATAAAGTGCAGATGACACTGTCCGCTGCCTTGCCAGCGTCAGTTGGGTTAGGGGCTTTCCGCAGTGGCTGGGAAGTGGGAGGAGAAGGAGTTGGAAGAGGGGGAGGAAGGATAGGAGACGACAGTCATGGAACTTCGCTTGTCCGCTCAATGGGAGTTGTTTAGGTGAGACCGTAGCACGAACTGAAAGGGCTGCGGCTGTGGCGGGCCTGGTGGAGGCAGGGCCGGTGCTGGGCTCCCGAGGATGCTGAGGTCTCCTCTGCCGGTGGCTGCTGCTTCTCACACAGCCTCTCATGTTTCGCTCCCTCTTTTCTTCTTCTTTTTAACTAGCGCGCGGGGAGGTGCTGCCACCGCGCGCCCCTTGACGTCACCGCTGCTCGCGCACCCCCGCCCGGGGTGGGAGGAGGGGAGGGGGCAGTCAGCCGGGAGCTAGCGCTTGCGGGGACCCAGGGTGGCCTCGGGCTGCTGTGGGGCGGGACGGGGGAGGGGGGAGAGGGAGGGAGGACAGGGGACGGGGGAGGGGGCGGAGAAGCCCTTGGAGCCAGCCTCTGAGGCTTGGAACTCTGAGCGCCACCGTGCTGGGGTGGGGGTGGCCTGGCCGCTATGCCCAGTTTGGGCGGAAAGTGCCTGGGGAACATTGCTGCTACTCAAGGCGACTGGGCTGACTGGGCTGAGGCTCCCAGACCATGTGAGTAAGAAGGGACCACTCGAGGTGAGAAGGGAGGGATTTTTCCCTGGCTTCGCCCACGCTGATCTGGGTCTGGTTACCTAGCCCGGGAAGGGATGGACTCCATAGGTTGGAGCCAGATGCTGTGACTTGTCCATGCCTTTCCCTCTCAGGCAGGCAGGACAGCCGCCTCTGGTCCTCAGTGACTCTCGAGATTTAAAGGCAAGAGGGGAACCCAGATGCTGTAGTTTTTTGTGTAGGCAGAGGGAGGCCACCAGTGGGCCCTTGCTGAAGTTCCTGGAGCTGCTGTAGGGCCACTGAGGCACGTGCATATGGTAGGGTTGGGTATCCCAGAGCAGGCTAAACCTGAGTTCTTCTCCAGGCAGATGCGGGATGTGTTTCAGATTTAGGCAAGCCAGCCTTGACCTGTAACTCCAGACTAAATCGTCTGGGAGACACTGGTAGCTCTGTGTGTATTTATAAAGTACATGCAGGTGTGTACGTGAGCACACCCGTGAGCTCGCACACACACTTGTGTGAGCACAGCGCGCATGTGTACAAACTTTTCTGGTGTCCATATACAGAGGAGGAAAAATTTAGTTTCCGATGTGAGATGCGGAAGCACAAGCCCTGCATGGCTCCATACTCATGAATAAAATCACCTTTCCCCTAACTGCACACGTTCTACCTAGAGTGTTCTAGAAAGATTTCCACATTATCAAGAGCTATGATTTCATGTTTACTGGAGCCCCCCAAGTTGGCACTGGGACAAGTCTCCCAGGAGCTGTACACGAAATGTGCTTTTTGTCTATTTGGGTACTAAACAGGGAAGCTGATTTCCTGGTGGATGTCTTTTGATGAAGAGATAAGGCTGTTTTTCCCATTTTGGCAATAGAGGAATATTCACCATATTTGGACAGATTTCACCAGCTTCTATGAAAGTTGGTGGTGGCTGGGCTTGTAACTGACTGCTTTGCAAGTGGTATCAGTGGCTAGGTGAGCCATGTCCCTTTCAATGCCTGGATTCTGAGTTACAGTTTATGTGTGAAGTTAGAGATTTTAAGCAGCAGAAGTGACCTGCTTGAATAAACTTAAAGCCCACGAACACATTTGGCCTAGCTCTCAAATAAAGTAAATGCCCTGGAAGCAAACTTAACCCTTCTTCCAGACACCATCATGCATTAGTGTGTACACTACTCTAGTTCCCTCTTGGCTTATATAACATTTTGCATTCTCAGAAGTCTCTTACTATAAAATAAATACCACTAGGGATTTTTAAGACTTTAAAAGTTCTTACTTCAGTACTTCTTGAGATAAGTTCTATCACTATCAAGTCACTGGCATAACTCCATGCAATTCACATCCCAATACCCCATCAAGAATGTGTTTAAGGCTTTATTGCTAAATTTTAGTTTAATGTCTCTTCCTAAAATGAAGATCCTTCTAAAATCATATCTCAGTCATTGAGGTTCCCACTCATGAACGATAAATTGATGTTAATGGTATTGGGGCAGGCCTTCCTGTGCTATGTATTCTCAAAGTAAGGCCACCTACAGTAAATTGCACAAAATGATGCTTTTGCTATAAGCTATGATCCTAAATGTCAAGATGCCAAACATTTATAAATGGTCAAAAGGAAACAAATGCATTTTTTGGGACAAAGTCTCATGTATCTGAGGCTGGCCAAGTTCTTTAAGGATGACCCTTAACTACTTATCCTTCTGCATCTACCTTCTTAGTGTTGGGATTACAAACAAGGACCATCATGCCTACTTGAGGCAGTACTCAGAATAAAACTCCAGGACTTCCAGAGACCTAGGATAGAACCAAACATGACTGACCAAAACAAACACATTGAAATGATTCTAAAGATGTTCTGGTATATTCACAGATTGATGCCTTAGTTGTCTTCAGAGAGGCCACCTCCAGCACACGACGGGAGCAGATGCTGAGACTACAGCTGAACATCAGGAAGAAAGAGAGAGAGCCCAGTTTGGAGGTCTCCACTGGGACCCTCCGCTTGGAGTTCAGGAACCCTGCAGAAGAGGGAGAGGAGGGACTGTAGGAGCCAGGGGATGGAATCAGTTAACAGTGCTTATGGGGCTCAAAGACCCTGAAGCAGAAATGGTGTAGTTTGCATGGGGCTGTGCTAGGTCATCTGCATATATGTCATGGTTGTTGGCTTGGTGCTTTGGGGGAACTCCTGACAGTGGGAATGGGGGTGTCTCTGACTCGTTTGCCTCCTCTTGGGACTCTTTTCCTCCTACAGGTTTGCCTTGCCCAGCCTTGATATGAGGGTTTATGTTTGGTTTTATTGTATCTAGCTATGCTCTGTTCAGTTGATGTCCTGGAGAGGCCTTTTTTTTCTTTTTTTTGAGATGGGGTGTGGGAGTGAATCTGGGGAAGATGAGAGGGGGAAACTGGAGTAGAAGCTGTGGTCAGAATGTATTGTGTGGGTGAAAAAAATCATGCACACAAAACAAAGACCCTAGCAACTGAGTTACATCCCTTCCCTTGTTCTGTGTTGACACATGCAACAGCAACTGATCCATGCAAGATTCATTATGAAAGGCAAGTGACCAAGTCCCTTTAGGACACTGAACTTATTCCTTGTGTGACTGATATGATTTCTTTCTTTTTTGCCAAGAGGAGGGTGTTGTTTTTGTTGTTGTTTTTCAAGACAGGGTTTCTCTGTGTAGCCCTAGCTGTCCTGGAACTAGCTCTGTAGACCAGGCTGGACACGCACTCACCGAGTCTGCCTGCCTCTGCCTCCTGAGTGCTGGGATTGCAGGTGTGTGCCACCACTGCTGGGCATGATACAATCTAAATAGTAACTGACTTGTGTTTCACAGGTGGACTAACTTCTGATTTATTTTTTTCCCAGAAGGCAAATTAAAAACGTTACCCACAGCAGATCAACCATCTAATGTGCCTGGTTGTTTTCACTCTTTGTTCTTTTAGGGGTTCTCCATCATTGAGGCTTATTAGTTCTTATGAATGCCTGACCTTAGTCTGGCATGTTTCTGGACAGCTTTTCTTAATTTAAATTATTGAGACCACCTTTTGCCTCTGGGATTTTACCTTTCCCTATTTCTGTATTCCTTTCTTTACTTCTCACTCTGTGGACTTGCTGAGTAGCTGGGTGGCTGGGTGGCTGGGTGGCTAGGTGGCTGGGTGGCTGGCTCCTCAAGTCCCCTTTCCTCCTTCTCTCCACGCTGGACCCCTTTTTTTCACCAGTTTTCTCCTCTTATTTATTCTCCCTGCCTGCCAGCCCTGCCTATCCTTTGTCCTGCCTTGTTATTAACTATTCAGCTCTTAATTAGACCAACCAGGTATTTTAGACAGGCAAAGCAACAAAGATTCACAGAGTTAAACAAATCCAACATAAAGGAATGCAACACATGTTTGCACCATTAAACAAATGTTCCATAGCATAAATGAATGCAACACATCTTAAAATAATATTCCACACCAATCTAATTTCTTAGGAATCAAGGATCAACACTAGGGTATTTCCTAAGATGAAAGCCTCACTGGGGATACAACATGGAAGGAGAGCCATTTACACACCTGGACAGAGCCAGAAGGGGTCTTTTCAGCCATTACACCTTATTTAAGAAGTGTGCACATGCTGCATTCATTTTCATCCATGCATTGTTAGTAACCATCAGAAACTTTATCATGTGTGAATGAGCTATAAGCACCACATCTGGGAATTAGAGATTTCTCTTTATGATTACCCCAGCTGAGTATAATTTGGTTTTATATGTGTTACTATGATAAACTGTCAATAAATGTTACCCACTGGTCATCTTACTTGACTTGCTGCTGTTTTTTTTTTTTTTTTGTTTTTTTTTTTTTTTTTTTGTTGTTTGTTTGGTTGGTTTTTTGAGACAGGGTTTCTCTGTTTTGCTTTGGAACCTGTCCTGGAACTAGCTCTGTATCAGGCTGGTCTCGAACCCACAGAGATCTCCCACCCCCCCCCCCAGCATTAGGATTAAAGGCATGGGTTTGAATTGATGCTTTTTGAAGATTTCAAATAAATTAAAAGATATTTTCAAATTAAATGACAGACTACATACAGTGTGACTCCTCAGAGAGAGATCACATATAACTTAACAATTATGGACTGGTTATAGACCAGA